CCAAACTTTTTATTAATGTTGTGGTGTGTAAATTTTTTTTTTTTTTTTTTTTTTTTTTTAGTTTCCTACTTTGGTCTGCTGGTTGAGGTTGGCGCCATTTCTGGCAAGGATCTCCGCAACAGCAACCTTATCATCCTGTGCTGCCAAATGAAGGGCGGTAAGGCCACACTAAACACAGAAAGACATTTTTGTCATTTTTAAAACACAGAAATCAATTAGCTGTCGCATGGCGGTATTTCCCAGAAAACCGAAAACATAGAAGCAAGTTAATATTTGGCGTGGCAGATTATAGTGAGATTGCAACTTGAATATAGAACAGGCAAGTGAATTTTGAAGAATTTTACAACATGAACCGTCGTCAAGGTTCAAAAGGCGCACACCTGCTAACTTGCAAGCTGTTTGTATGCTAAATTCTACCAAGCTAAAAACCTGCGTGGCGCAAGGTTATTACATTTAACAAAAAGTAACAAAATAATAAAAATTGAAGAAACATTTTTGTTAATGAAATAAAATAAAATGAAAATGGTTTTAAAAAAACAAAACTGAACTTAAAGTCCATCTTATGTTTATAAAACTACTGTAAAAATAGGTCTTCGTCAATTTCACGTGCATGAACCTTTGGGGTTTATTGATGTATTTCTTTTGGTATTGCTCTACGTCTGTGCAGAAGAAAGCAGGTCAAACTATGATGACCTTTTCTTGAAATCCTGTACTCGACAAATACTCCATACATTAAAAAAAACAAAAAAAACAAAAAATTAAAACTCATACTAAAACTAATAAAATTTAACATACTTGCTCTACATTAAAACAAACCGAAAATGAACAACAAAAGTCAAAACGAAATAAAAAGTAGCTGTAATGAAAAATCCCAAAATATTCCAACCCTGGTGTGGAGCCACAATGTGGAGAACATCGAGTGACGCAGAATGCGGACATGCTAATAGTCGGCACGCTAAGTCAGTGGTTCCAAACCTTTTGTGAGTCAAGGCGCAACAGTTTGGCATGAATGAACGCCCGCACCGTACCTTAGTAGGGGTGTTGACATGAGCTCCCTTACTCAGGAGCAGCGCAGCCATGTCGGCGTGGCCCTCCTCCGAAGCCAAGTGGAGTGGCGTGACGCCCTGTTTGGTCAGGACGTTGCTTTCGGCGCCGTAGTTCAGGAGCACTGTCGCAATGTCTATTTGGTTCTTTTTGGCCACAATGTGGAGAGGGGTGTAACCGTTCTGCTCCAGAAAGACACACAAGACACAACGACGTAAACACATCGAACATAATGTGCCATTTGTTGTGCGCGCACAAACCTGACAACTCACCGCTACGCTAAGTGTAGAATAGGGGGACATGCAAAGATGATTAATTCTGATCCGGGGATAATTATTATTATTTTTAAATCAAATCAGGAGAAAGAGCTTGGCAGCATGCTGTTAGCAACTGAAAGATACGAGACAACAACAACTCTGACATTTAACTTCATCTCTCACCATGAGGACATGATGGTTACGCGTTTATTTGCGAAGACAATTGAATAGTGTACACGGAGTCCGAATTGGCTAATGGGCAAATTTCTACTGTGGCGATGCAAGATTGGATGACTTTTCTAACACATAAAATGACTCGACTCGGCCTGCTTGAATTTGAGCAGGAACTTTACTTTTTGCCAGTCACTCGGGACTTGGATGAAACTTGAAGGTTACAACTTGAAACTTCCTTATGACCATGTAACTGAGTCCCACCGTTGACTCTTCCTTAAACGTAATCTCACAAAGAATTTTCAATCGTGCTAAGCAGTGCACCTTGGCAATCGAGTGAGGGGATGCTCCTTTGTCCAGGAGCAGAAGCGCCACCTTCTGGTTATCATAATGTGCTGCAACATGGAGCGGGGTCAGGCCATTCTACGAGAGAAAGTCAAAATATTAACAGTGTGTTTGTATTGGGGTTTTTTTCTTTAAATATTGACATAAAATTACTCCTTTTGTGTAATAGTCGTGCTGGACGATATGGCATTAAAGTAACATTTTTTGATTTCAAATTTTTATCACTAACAGATAAGGCAAATGACAATGACATTGAACAAAAGTTCAGTTTTTTTGTATTTCCCTCCCTCTAGAATTCCTCCTGATACTAATTCTTTCCACTGCAGTAAATAAATAAGCAGCAATTACAGTGTTCCCCCACTATTTACGAAGGAGGGCTTTAGGGAGTAAACCCTACAAGAAGAGTCGAAAACCACAAGTACA